CAGGTTAGGGAACAAGAGAACCTAGGTTAGATGGATACATGGAAGGAATTTTTGCATAAGATACCTTGTATAATTTTGTATAAAATTAATTCCTTTCATTTTTACTTGATATGTTGAAAATGCAAATTTGATTTAAATTCAAGACAAATTTTAAAAATCATTCTTAATATTAGAGGAAAAAAGCCAGTAAGTATTCAAATACTCACTACAAATCGATGAAGTCCATAGTACAATAGGATATCAGCTAAGGTAAAGTTATATCCTGTAAGGTAGACTTTATCTTCAAGATATGAATTAAGATCCTAGAGAAAAACAGATAAATAGAACTTTTTAAGAAAACAAATGTATAAAATATTTTTTTAAATTGATGCTAACTATCATATATAAACAATAGTCTTATTTTATTTTAGAGAAATAAGAAAAGATTAGAAAATATTAGACATTAGAAAGTGCCATCTATAATCATTTCAAAAGACTCCAGTTTTTTGTTTTTGTTTGTGGGAATATTTTGCAAATCATGCTCATGTTAGATTTATTTTTTCCATTAAAATACAAAAGGCTTCTCAACAATTTCTACCTCTTCAGAGAATTTTAAGTTACTAGTTTGTTGCATTTTTTATACATATTTTAAGAATTTAAATTCTGATATAATACATATAACACAATATTTACCATCTTAACCATTTTTAAGTATACACTTCAGGAAGGGTTAAGGATATTCACATTGTTGTGCGACCAATCTCAGGAACTTTTTCATCTTGTAAAACTGAAACTCCATACCCATTAAACAACTCCCCGTTTCTCTCTCCCTCCAGACCCTGGCAACCATCATTCTACTTCTACTGCCAGTGTTTTTAATGTCAAATCCAAGAAGTTATTGCCAAATCCAGTGACATAAAGTTTTCCCACTATATTTTCTTCTAAGAGTTTCATAGTTTTAGGTCTTATAATTATGCCTTTGATCCACTTTGAGTTAATTGTTGAATATGGTATACAGTAAGGGTCCGACTTCATTCTTTTGCAAGTAGATATCCAGTTTTCCCAATACTTTATAGACTCCAGTTTTAAATACCATTTAAAGCTACAGAAAGTTCTCTGTCCTTTGTTGTCCAGACAAAAACCACCAATTTTTAAAAGGTAATATTAATTGTGTATACAAAAAAAACCTCACTTTATTTAAATCATTACAAAATAACATATTAGTAAGTACTGAGCTCCCTAAATAGCCAATAGGCACTTTTGAAAAGAATAAAGTTTAAAAAGCACTTGTTAAAAAATAAAAGTCTCAAAAGTTCCTAATCTAAATTAGAAGTATTATCTGACAGACCAGCATAAATACATCAGTTTCCTGAGAAAGGAAAATAGTTAGATAAAAATACTGTATGAATATTTTTGGCCTCTCTCAAATTTAAAATATACTTTAGCAGAACAGAAATTCACATTAAATTACATTCAAATTAAATGAGACAAAAATTCATATAACCTAAGTGGAAGGTTTTATAAATAAGTTACATGAACTATTATTAGATATTCTCAGAGGCTCCTCTGAAGATTAGTTACAAAACTGTCCAGTGGTCAAGAGCAATTATTCTGGAAGAATTCCTTAAACTGTACAGAAAGCATTTTGTTTTGATTCTCAAATCACATCTCTCTTAGTCTGTTTGCGATGTTATAACAAAATACCATAGACTGGGAGGTTCATAAACAACAGAAATATACTTCTCCCTTAAACTGTACAGAAAGCATTTTGTTTTGATTCTCAAATCACATCTCTCTTAGTCTGTTTGGGATGTTATAACAAAATACCATAGACTGGGAGGTTCATAAACAACAGAAATATACTTCTCCCAGTGCTGGAGGCTGGAAATCTAAGATCAAGGCTCTGGCAGATTCGGTGTCTGGCAAGGGTCCACTTCCTGATTCAGGAAGTCTTTTCCCTGTAACCTCACATGGTGGAAAGGGTGAGGGGTCTCTCTCAGGCCTCTTTTATAAAGGCGCTAATCCTTATCATATGAGATCATGATCTAATCAACTCCCAAAGGCCCCACCTCCTAATACCATCACCTTGGGGATTAGGATTTCAACATATGAATTTTGGGGACACAAACATTCAGACCATAGCAACATTCTAAAGTGTCTGGCACAGGTGGTTCAGTAATCAGTAAATGTTTGCTGAATTGAATTTAATCTCTTTGAGTTTGCCCACATTTTCATTTAAAGACAGTACTTTTCCAAATGGTATATGGATATAGATTCCTAGGTGAGGTACGGATGAGGACATAAATGTGGACACAAATGAGGAGTCAGCTATAGAAGAATCAAAATAAAATCTGGGTGGGAGAGCTGAATGTATTGATATATAGGGGCTACCACTTAAATTCTATGGTAATCTGTTGAAAGGAGATAGTTTCTCTTCAAATATCTTCAAATAATCAACTTTGATAAAGTATAAAAATAAATATATCTTCATTTAATTTTAAAAAGCATTTAAAGAATGATCTGAACAATAATTTAATACTGTTTTGTACAGTATATTTTTTCTAAAAATAAAATCTCTATCTACATTTTAGTTACAGACTTTTAAAAATGTAGTTTCTATAAATGAGGATAAGGTAATACTTTCTTGACTAGTGATATAAAGAAAATTATTTTTACCAAAAGAGAGAATTTCACACATTCGAAATATTCACAGAAGAGAACTAATGCCTGATGTTCATTGCTACTTTTTAAAAAAGTCTTTCTGA